TGCAGGTCTGCCAGGCCTGAGTCGGGTTCTTCTCCAAGGCCAGGACAGCTTCCCTGGTGTCCTGAGTGTGACCCACTTATCTTGGGAAGGCTTCAGCACATCCTGGAAGAGAATGCAGCCATTGCACTGGTATTGAAGCTTTAGCAGATGCTCGGCACCCTTGGCTTGTCCTTGACCAACTAGAAGAAGTGGCCCACACCCTGCAGAGCCACACCAGAGAGATGCAGGGGTAGGAGGCCTGCAGATGCAAGGTGACCAGATGAATGACAGCAGCTTCCACCTGGGTGGAGCAATTCTGACAAATTTCGAAGCTTGTGGTTGCTTGGCAATGAAGAGTTAAGGCAAAAAACGGTGTTGGCTGGTCTTGGGGCTGAGGGTGGCTGAGGTGATTCTGCAGGTGGCAACTGGAAGAGAGGTTGGAGGGCAGCTGGAAAGAAGGGGCATCCCTAGGTCTGTTCCACCCAAACCCTGTTGAAGCAAGAGACAAATCCCAGAACCGCTGAGGGCCCAGTCTCATCAAATTGTTAAACTAAAAACAAGCTGCCTGGTGTTGCTCAGAACTGGCAGTCACTGTGACACCCATCTGGAAGGCATGACTGATGTCCCTTGCCAGGGACAGGGCAGAGGACATCTATGAAGGCCCTGGTCAGGCACAAGTCCCTTGCGTATAAATGTGGAGACCAGCAGACAGACCTGCTGCAGAAGCCCAGCCCACAGAATCATAGACATGGCCTGGGATCTCAGGAGAAAGCGCCGCTCCTTAGTAATTGGATGGAATGTGACCCCGGAGTCTCAGCAGAAGACCTTTGGGGGAATAGGCTGGAAAGTTTCTCGCCTGTCCTGGGATCTTGCTCCACTTGCTGATGATTGTGGGAAGGAGTTTAGTCAGGTGATAGTTGAGCAGGACAGAGACTGACCCAGTCCAATCATCCACACAATAAACCAGCAGCCACTTCTCACCAGCTTCAAAGTCCCCAGGCACCTTGTGTCCATACCCTCATCACATACGCACACAGTTACTCAACCCCCAGCGATAGCTCCCACCCATATATCCTAACACCCACCCCTGCTCTCCAGATCCCACACACAGAGACTTTTCCCTTGGTTGGCCTTAAGTGAAAATGAGTGATGGTGCCCTCAGGAAACAGGTGGCTCTTTCAATAGCTTATCCACGTGAGAAGCAATGGAGAAGGAAGGGACTTTATCAGGTCTGGGGACTTTACAGAAAGATGTGGAAAGACCATGAGTGACACCTGTGTCCATGTGGTCAAAGCAGCCCTAATCCTAACACCAACCCAACCTTTAAAGCTAATACTAACTCTGCCCCAACCCTACTTCTAACCCTACACATGTCCCTACAAAACCTAATCTTGACCCATTACCCTTGCCCTTACCCCTAAACCCTCTTCCTAGTCCTAATAACACTTAACTCTGTCCCTAGTCCTAAGCTGCCAATACTTCTAACCCTACAAAGTCCCTGCCCAACCCCTAATGTTGATCCATTACCTTCACCCTTATCCCTAAACCCATTCCCTAACTGTAACATCCTAACTCTAACCCTGTCTCTAGCCCTATTAACCCCTTACACTGTCACCCTACCCCTAATCTTAACCTCTTATCTTCAGCATCACTCTAACCCCCAAATTCTCACAAAACTAACCCTAACCTTCAGTCTAATCCTAAACCTAATCCTTATCATAACCTTAAATCTAACTCTAAGCCTAAAGTTAACCTAAGCCTAAATCTACCCTAACACTAATCCTTAATCCTAAAACAACCCCAATCCTCTAACCCTAACCCCGACACTTACCCCTAACCTTAACTCCTTAAACCTGACCTTAATCTTAACCCTGATCTTTAACCCCAAGGCTGAGCCCAAACCCCTAAACCTAACCCCTATTTTTATTCTCTGCACATACACCCCCAACCATACATGGGAAGACTTTCCATTGGGGACAATCCATGGATTAGGGGCCCGAGAAGTAACAGACACCTGGAGTTGAGAAGAGGATCAAGACAGTGGTGGGAAGCAGTTCTGTCCTGGAGCAGGGCTGTCCAGTCTCCCAGCAGCCTGTGCACAGGCCCACAGCTAGGGAAAGAGGATGATACCAGGCTGACAGGCAGAGTGTCCTTAAATCTCTCAGGGGCCAGCTGTAGAGTGGCCTGCAGTAGACAGGGTCCGAGGTCCTGTGTTCCCCTCTGTGGAGCCTGGCATGAGCATGAGCAGCCCAAATGTGGTGGGGCTACAGGGCAGGAGGCCTGTGTCCTCCTCCACATGTCAGGAGCATGGAGTGGTGACCCCAAGGTGTTGGGAACTGCCCTCTCTGGTTTCAGGAGTTATAACCGCCCCCTATGGATAAGGCTGAGTGAGCAACCTGCAGACTGTGAACCACCAAGGAGACAAAGCTTATCTCCCTGGCAGGAGCGCTGCTTCTGCTTCATCCATCTCTGCCCCCAATGCTTGGCCGGTTAGTCAATGACAGGTCAATACAAACCCTCAGAGGTGGGCCAACCTAAGCCAGACACAATCACTTAGGAGGCCCTCAAGGAAGCACTTGGGGGGCTGCAGCAAAGAGGGGGTGATGGACCCTCGCCCTGTGGCTTTGATGAAGCCTGAGTCCTTAGTCTGTCTGCGAGAAGTCTCCAAGAATTCCTTGGCTATCTGCCTCCTCTGCCTGACTTAAGCCTGAAAACAATGACAGAGGGTGGTGAAGCCTTGTGCTGGGAATGGCAGGCTCCCTGGGTGATCAGGCCTGAGAAAGGATATGTGAAATCCTGTGAAGCCTGTTTTGCTAAGAATGCTCTTAGTTAAATGATAAAGGCCCGGGCAGAAAATGAGTTTGTTTTCCCAAAGTCTTATAGCCTTTTAGCTAACAGACCCTGTCTCAGAAGAAGCCCTAATAGTTCTTTGTATGCTTTGTACTGTTTACTGCCTGACAATGATTAATAAGTTGTACCTGAACTCCTGTGCAAAAATAAAACAATAAAAGCCTGTCAAGCAAGGGTCGGGGCACTCTCCCCTTGAGAGAGTGGCCAGGCTGTTCTGAGGCTCTTCCCCCTTGAGGGAGTAGTCATGCCATCCCTTTTCCTTCACAGCACTCAGTAGTCCATGTGAATTTGTCTCATGTTTCATCCATGACACCATGGGCACTGTGAGCCAGTGCTCGTGTCACCAGGGTTCTTCATGGTTGGAGAAGTGTCTGATGGACTTGGTTCTTCATCAACAGTCTACAGTACCTGAGCTCCTTGGCAGACCTCCAAGAGAGAGCAACTCGGGGACTGAGGGCCTGGTGTAATTTAGAATGGGGCTGAGCAGGAACCACAAGTCTAGCTGGAGTCCAGGACATGACCATCCTCACTGGAGCCTCGGGGTCCTCATTTGGAAGTGCGGCCAGGGTCATTGTCTATGCTTGGTGAGTGAACAAGACACCCAGGGCCAGCAGAGGGTAAGTGGGGACAAGGGATTGAGGTTCTGTTCATTATCCCTAGGGTCAGTAGGCCCTTCCTCTGCCTGTCCTGAGCTCACCTAAGCACCCTGTGGTGCGGACCCAGGATCAAGGCTGGGGATAACACAGATTCATCAGGGAGAGCCACTGGGGCAGACACAGCTGCCACCACTTACCCCCAACAGTTCCAGAACAAATAAGCAGGGGCCTGGTGAAGGGCAGGCCAGTTCTGAATTATTTCTTCCCCCCTTATGGCTACAAGGGTTAACTATGCAGGGCCCAGAGTGATTGTGCAGAGAACAGAAAAAATGGCAAAAGTGGTTGTTGAACCAGTGATTATGAGGTTGATTACTGATGGTTTGGTCAAACTCGGAGGGGGCAGAGGTGACGTGCAAGGGAAGACTGAATTGCCACAAGCATTCAGAGCTTGTTAATTTGCTGAGTGTGCAAGCATTGTCAAATGGCTCACAGTGGTTGTGCTGGATGGGGACCTGGGAAACGCAGAATGGTGGAGTGGTGGGTAACCTCGCTCAGTAGGTGTTCAGAGTGGCTCTTGCACAGGGAGTGTGCAACAAGACACGGTTGAACTGCTCGCAGTGGCTGTGAAAAGCATAAGTCTGACTGTGAGCATGGGAACAGTTGTTCAGTGCCACAGAGGGTGTGCTGGAGTACAAGTTGGATGGAGTGAGATGCACATGCATGGACTGGTTGTTGAACCACATGTGGTGAGTGGGTAGAAGGTGACTGGCAAACAATGCGTGTGTGAAGTGTGAGGCTGAACAGAGAACAGGGCAGTGGCTTTTGAGTTACACAGAATGTGCAGTGACTAAATGGCAGAGTGGGTGTGAAAACAATGTAAATTGGTATGGAATGAGTGTGCGGAGAGAACAGTTCAGCCAGTGTGCCAAATCAGTGGTTGAAAAACACTCAGGGAAGTGTGCAGAGGGACTGTCACATGGCACTGCAGGAGGTGTGGTGAAGGTGACTACACTAAGGGGTTTTATTGAATTGCCCACAGCGACTGTGCAAGGAGAAAGTGCTGCGTGTCCCTGCTAACAGGGGAGTGCTGGAGGGAGCAGTGACTGCTGAATCCCAGTGAACCATCACAGAATGATCACATTGGTCAAGTTTATGTGCCCAAGTTTATGGCAAGGCCACAGTGCCACTTGGTCAAATGCCAGTGTGGTTATTGCTGTCAAGAGTTTTTAGATTGAGACACATTTAACTCAGCAAACTGAGCAAATAAAGCAGATAACTTGCCATAACCCTACAGATGGGCCTTGTCGGATCAGTTGAGGGCTTAAAAACAAGGACCAAGATTTACAAAGCAATACTGCTTCAGACTGCAACACAGAACCCCTGCCTAAGTCCAGCTTTTGGACTCACAATTTCAACTCTCCTCTTGCACTCCAGACTTCCCTGTACTCACTCGCCTGCCCCATCTCTCTCCATACATCAGGCTGGTTGCAGAACACTATGCTGTGACTGAGTGACACACAGAAGTGCAAGGAGTCGAACTGGCACGGTACAGATAGGCGTGCAGAGCTTAAAATGTAAACAGTGCATAATGCTTTATTTGCTTGGTACAGGTGTGCAAGAACTGGGAGCTGGGTGGGAAGAATGAGTATGCAGAGTGGTTGTTGAATTGGTTTGCAAAGTGACTCTGGATGGCAGATAGTTGTGTGACAAGTAGGTGGATGATGCAGGACAAGTGTGTAAGAGGCCTGTCTCCAGCTGGCCTGCAGGTGGACACTAACCAGAGCCCTCTGCCTGCTGGTTGGGAGCAGAGTGGTGGCCCTGGAGGGAGACAATACATGAGTGCTATGACCTGTCTGCAGGGCCCAGAGTGTTTCTTGGTACAGTGCCTGCTGCCTGGGGGCCTAGCCCAGAGCACTGACCAATGAAATCTCTGGTTCAGGACCTTGCCAGGGGAGCCAGAGGCCAGTAGAGGAAAGGAAGTCGCTAAATAGTGGTTCAAATGTGGGAGAGACAGACCCTGCAGCATGGGGGTGCCTGGGGCCCAGTGTCTCTCCCACACCCCAAGGGGCTTGCTCCAGAGGGAGAAGTGTGGGCCTATGAGTGAGGCGCTAATGTGGAGGGGGCCTGAGCTGTTGTGGGTGGGAGGCCCGTGGCCTGGGGCTGGCATTTGCTGAGGGAAGGTGGAGACAGGAGAAAACCAAGCCCCACATGACTCAGACTCCTGAGTCCCCACCATACTTCCTCCCAGCTTTGCCACAGGTCCAATTCACCAGCAACTAACTCTCCACCCACCCCTTCACCAGATCCAAGTCCCCAGTCCTGCTGGGCCCTCTGAACAAGCACAGAGGTGCTGCAATGACAGGACAGTGCCAGACCTTAAGAGCAGGAACATCTGGGAAACCAAGACAACCAGGCAGCAAGGAGACAGCATTCCCCAGGCCACATGGGAGGATACAGCTTTATTTCTGGAAGGGACCCTAGAGCAGTGCAACAGCTTTCCATGGTAGTGCCTGCAGGGTCCTGTCAGGATGTGTCCTGTCACCCTCACAGCACACACTAAAGAGATTCCATGGCAGCCATGGTCTCCTCTAGCTGCTGCAGGAGATCCTCTGGCTGCGGAGTGAGCATGCTGGTGTCCACTCTCTGGAAGTCGGGGTTGACCACCACAGACGCCAGCACCTCAGCAATCCGGCTGATGTCAAAAATGATCTGCTGGGGGTCCAGTCTGGAGCCCTCACGATATTCCACTTCACCAGGGCCTATCTCCTTTGCTAGGAGGAGCCTCCTTTTGGCAATGACCTTGAGGAAGTGGTAAAATTCTTCAAAATTGATCCCAGAGCAGGACCTCATGATGACCTAGGCCAGAGAGGAGTGACCAGTGAGCTAATGCTCACCTGCATCTTTGGCAAGTTTCTGCTGACTGTGGACAGAGCCCCAGCTGCAAAGGACCAAAAGCCATGGACCTGTCTTTGAGGGTGGAGACAGTTACCTGGGGGCCAGTCAGTGATTCCTGGCAACCACTGTGACCTGCCTCAGCTCTAGACTGACCCTATTACAGGTAGGCCAGGCATCCACCCCTCCCCGCCATTGCAGCCCTACCCCAGGTGAGCTCCCCACCCCCTCTGTGATGGCCCTGGTCTCTGTCCCCACTGCTATCTAGGCCAGACGCTGCACCTGGCAGTGATGGTGCCAGTCAGGCATGGTGTCCTTCCACTCGCTGACCTCCTGTTGCACAGCACGGAGCTCCTGCTGCAGGAAATGCCACATGTTGGCCAGGTTACAGCCATTGACCCAGTTATGGTTGATGGAGATAGTGTCCTCCTGGAAAAGGTAGGTTGCAGGCTGTCTCCTTCCCCATCCTGAGGTCCTCTCATTCCTACTCAGCTGGGAATGCCTGCTCCCACCAGCCTCCCAGTGGGTGCTAGCAGGGAAGAGGGAACTGAGCCAGGGATCATCTGAGTCCACATCTAACCCAGAGTGGGGCTCCACAGGGGCCCTGGACAACCCTAAGGCCCCTGTGGAGGGGGACTAGGAAGGTAATGTGGGAAGGAGAAAATGGGGGCTGGAAACCCTTAGCATGCTATATGGAGTTGACATGCTAACACATGGGACCAACCTCACCATGGCCTGCCTTGTCACACACCCAGGGTCTCCCAAAGGGACAACTTGCCCACTGTGGAGTCGGGAGGGGTAGGCACAGCCCTCTCTCTTCAGGAAGCATCCAGAAAGGTACCAAGGGCGGGTACAGAATATCAGGTACCATTGATGGGCAGTGTCAAGAGGGAGTCAAGGTCAGTCTGCTGAGCCTCATGGTGTGTCTCCCTGCTTGCCTGTGCCAGCTCTTAGGCATGTGGGGCAAGGTGAGCCCACCCTACCATGTTGTGAACTTGGTGGTGCCACCCGCTGGGCACGAACACCATCTCGCCTGCCTCCTGCGTGACCTCCAGCGGGGGGCTGCAGTGGTTGAGCCCCCGGTGTCGACAGCTCTCCAGGAACGCAGGGGCAGTCACATCGTAGGGCAAGCCACCATGGCAGTCCCGTAGGGCTTCTTCTTGCCCTGGTGGGAAGAGGTACCACTTTTTCCTCCCGCAGATATTGACAGACCAGCTGAAGGAGCGGAAAATGTCAGCATGGAATGGCGACCTGCAAAGAGTCCCTGTTGGTGCCCTGTGGCTAGGGTGTGGGCTGTGGTTTTTCCAAATAGACTGGCCATGGCCCGGGGCCTGAGATCCCCAGCTCTTACACCTGTCTGTGAGCCACAGGGGTGAGCCAGACCTCCCCACCCGAGCACACCCAGCAGGAGGGACACAGACTCTGGGCAGAGCCACAAGGTAAAGAGCGCAAGTGGGTTTGGAAACGCCAGGCCTGGCAGCTGCCTCCACAGCCTAACCAAGGGAACTCTCAGAGTCTCTAAGAGAGCCGACATGGTTCAGCACAGCAACCAGGGACAAGGTGCAAGGCAGTGGGTGGGAGTGGAGAGACAGTTACCAGGTGCCAGTGGGCCCCATGTAGATGAAACGGTAGTCGTCCACATCCAGGGTGTCCCAGTACTCGTTGAGCCAGTCAGAGGAGAAGTACACAGGCAGGGTGAATATGCCTTCGGCAGAGGAGTCCCTTCAGAGAGCAAGCAGCATGAGGATGCTGTCACCTCTACATACCCAAGCCCAGCATGGTCCCTGATGTGAGGGACCCTGGGCTGCCAGGCCGAGTGGGGCCACCTCCAATGACCCAGCCCTAAGTCTGATCACTGATGACCACAGCTCCCAGTGACCCCAGGTGAGCTTACTCAAATAACTGAACCAGAGTGGTACGCAGATGAGATGGTTGTGGGTACTGTGACAGTGCCCAGATGACCCAGGCAGGTAGCAACCCAGGTGCTTTGGGCCCCCGAGCACCAGTCCCACAGTTTCAGACTCTGGCTGAGTTGGGGTCTAAATGCGTCACATGAATCAGACCAGCTTTCTGAAATTGTGGGCCTCTTCAGCATTTTCACTCACACTAGTGACCTGGTGGGTGAGACCCACCAGCACTAGTCACAGGAGCCTTAGTTCTAGTTTCACTATACCTTTTTAAGCCTTGTTTTCCACATCAGCAAAAACAAAACTTCGATTTGTGCACTCATTCATCCTATGTTAATTGGGCAACTAGCTGCCAGCTGGGGGGAAGTCTGACTATGATTGTTTCTGCTGGTGAAGTGCATGCCCTTGGGTGGCAAACACCAGGGGGCCACTTCAGGGAGTAGGCATGGCACTAAGAGTGAGATGTTTTCAGAGCAGCATTGTTTGAGCTCTCCAGATGGAAGTGTACAGGAGGGAGCAGACAAAGAAATTCCTCTTTAAAAACTGATGTTGCTCCGCAGTAAGGGAGGCCTTAAGCAGGAGGGACACAGTCTTGCTGGAAAGCCTAGCAGTGGGGTGCGGGAATTAAGGCAGGCAGCCGTCCAGGACACTGGCAGCACAACAGGATGGACCTGGAGAAGCAGGGTTGGAAAGGGAAGTTGGGCCCTGATTGGTGTGGCTCAGTGGGTGGGGCGTTGCCCTGCAGACTGAAGAAAGGTTAAGTGAGAGTTCAATTCCTGGTCAGGGGACAAGCCTGGGTGGCAGGTTCGGTCCTGTGGGGATGTGTACAAAAAGCGACCAACTGATGTTTCTCTCCCTCTCTAAAATCAATAAGCATGTCCTCAAGTGAAGATAAAAAAGGGAGGCTGGTTTCAGGGGACACCTGAGGAGGAACAAGGGCTGGGTGCTGCCAATTAGATGGGCAAATGGGACAAAGATGTGTTAACCAGAGCCCACCTGCACATCCACCAGTCGTCCCACGTTCCCCAGGCAGCCTATTGCATGCATACCGCAAGTCGGCCACACTGTTCTGCAGAGAGCTGTATATCTTATACAGATTTAAATTTCTAACTGGGAAAAAGACAGAATCCCCCATGTGCGGCCAGGGCTCACTCAGGTCTGCAACAATCAGTGCAGTGGCCAGTGCACCATGCCTTTACCTGCACAGGTGCCAGTCTTTGAGGTAGAGACAGCCCCGTGGAGAGGAGTAGTGCCCCTTGATGAACTCTTTCCAGTAGCTGATGTAATCTCTGAGGGGCATGTGTTCTTTAGGGTTCGAGTTGTATTCCTGGACCCCGCAATTTGCAACAGGTACAACTACATCTCCTGAAAGGGGAGGGTCAGATACAGGTTTTTCTGAGTCCTCCAGCTTGTCCATTTTCTCTGACCCTGTCCACCCTCCAACTCATTGCTAAACCATCTCGCATCAATTCTTCTGAGAACCCACTCATGCCCTGCCTTCCCCCCAAACACTCAGTGGTGTCCTTTGCAGAATGACCTAAGGGAGCTTGGCCAGATAAGACTCAGAGGACCCTGCTCTAGTCCAGTGCTGGCGCTCGCCCTCAGTCCTTACCATAATTTTGAAGCAGATAATCGAAGTCAGGTTTCCCACTGGGTGTCACCCAGTGCCTCCTGCTGCCCCAGCCCTCGGTGAAGGCACTGGAGAAAATACACGGCAAGTTGGGGAGCAGGTAACCCTTGAAGAAGTCCGCGTAGGAAAAGGAGTCTGGATTCTCAATAAAGTCCACACGGTCCGGGGTAGGGCAGACCCTGCTGGGGAGACGCCCTCGGAGGCGTCGGAAGTGACACTCTGCGAACAAACGCGTTTCCCGGTCCATGTCGGGCCAGGCTCGGAGTCCACAGGGTGCTGCACTGCCAGGGGCAGAGGGGAGGCTCGGGAAGGGACAAACAGTTGTGTCGTGGGATGAAGAAGCTTCGAGCAGGTCGGGAGGGGAGGACGGGGCGCCTGCAGAGAGCGGAGACACTGCCAGGGTAGAAGAAGCTTTCGAGGACTGTGTGCAGGCGCCGCCGCTGGGCGAAAGGCGGAAGCCGGCACTCGGCCCCCGGACTCCCACTGTGTTGCATTTTAACCTAGGAAATGAAAAGGAAGCATTTCCTAAAAGTACTTCCGGCGCAGACGCCGAGTGCACTGGTGGCTCACGGCTTCCAAGCCGGCTGGAACAAAACAACGAGATACACACACCACCGCGTTATAGGTCAGACGCTGCTGAGCGGAACCAAGAAGCCGCGGGCAGGGTTCCTGCAGGAATGCGTACCAAGGTGCACCGGGCCTTGAGCGCATGCGCACAATGCGCGGCGGCGGGTGCAGACGCTAGGAGCGGACTTAAGAACTGCCGGCTGGCATCGGTGATTGTGAGCGCCCGCCCCAGGTCTCCTCGTCTTAGACCCTCAAGACTCAGCAATGCGTTGTTTGTAGTCTGCGTCTGGGCCTGTGCTGCGCCGAGGACCCTTTCTTTTATCAGTGCCCAAGGGGCTGGGGTAAGTGGTATATTGTGGGCCGGGCTGAGAAAGGTGCAGAAGGGCCAAAGGTGGTGTACTAGGGGGTGGTGAAGGACTAAGGGAATGATGGGGGACTTAGAGTGGATGGTGGGGGCCTCAGGGAATGATGGGGACATGGAGGGGAATAGGAGAGCCTAGGGATTTTGTGGGAATCTGGAGGAGATAATGGGGCCTATGGTGATGGTGGAAACCTGGAGGAAATAATGGGGGGGGGGGCTTCGGGAATAATGGGGACCTGGAGGGGATGATGGGAGTTTGGGGGATAGTGGGGACCCAGAAAGCATGGTCGTGACCTGGAGGGCATATGGGGGCCTAGGGGGTGGCGGAGACCTGAAGGATAGTTCGGCGGGGCGGGGGGATGATCTGGAGATAATGAGGACCTGGAGGAGATGATGGGTGCCCTGGGAAATATTAGGTACCTGGGGGTGGAGGAATAGGAGGACCTGAAATGAGGGTGTGAGGATCCAGAGCCCTAAAATGTAAACCACAGGCCTGAAATGGGAACACATGAGTGGGGATGTGGTTGGGATGACATGTCACAGCCTTGGCATATTGGAGAAGTCAAGGTCCTACTCTCACAGACCTACCCACACCAGCATGGGAAGAAAGAAATCAGACTTATTCGTGTGTGAACTTGGCAGATGTATGTGGAGTGTCAGCAAGAGGGGACATAGTCACACAGAACTTGACATTTCCCACACAGTGAAGCAGAGGAAGAAGCAATAGGGCCTCTCTCATCTCCTCTTCTGGAACGGAAAATAGACGCACTGTGCAGTCTGCACCTGGGGAGAGACTCTTGACTCCCTGGAGCTTTGTGTTTGCGGTTCAGTCAGGACAGGTTCCCTGGAAGGAGAACAGGGAGCACCAGACGCAGAGAAAGGCAGGGAAGGGACTACTAGAAGGAAAGTGAGTTTGGGGAAATCTGAGGCCCAGGTTGAGGGGATCTGAGGTGGGAACGAAGAACACTGGCCAGATGGGATTGAGGGTGGGAGTTGTCTGTGGCAGGTGGAACAATGGGACGTGGTGTGTGATTTGTGCCCCATGCCCCTTCTTTGCCTGTGTGGTTAAGGTGTGGTATTCCTCAGTGGGCCAGTGTAGGACAGGCAGTGCAAACACACAGTGAAGGCAAAATGCAGAAAAAGAGTCACCAGTAATCCTATACAGAGACGAGTATGTTTTCCTTTCTGAGGTAGAATGTGTTCATTCATTTATGCATTCATTCGTGTTCCTTCCCTCCCACCCTCGCTCCCTGTACACTCACATAGCTGTGGAGAGTGCAGGTCATGGGGGGCAGCGGGGAAAGTTTGGGAAGCAAAGTGTCATAAGTACATAAGGATTTGGGAAGTGTGGGTCTAAGTTTGCCCTGTTGGAGAAATGTGAAATTCAGGTGGGTTGCTGGGCAGGGACCCAGCTCCTGAATGAAGGCATGTGGTTGAGAGTGAATTTCCTAAGAAAGGGCAGGCTCCCAAGGCTGTTACTCAGGGTAGGATGTAGGGTCTCCTTTCTGTAGCACTGGCTGGTCCAGGCATTTGTGTTGTGCTTTCCCTAGTCCACACGGTGGCCTTCTGACATCAGCACTGTCACCTCCACTGTACACCTGCAGCTCTGACAGCATCAGCAGGAGCAGATCTGTGTCTTTTCAAGGCCACTAGAAGGCAGCCTTAGCATCACCTGGAACTGGTGAGAAAAGTACATGCCTGGCCCCACCCAGACCCACTGTGGTCACATCCTGGGGGCGGGCACTTCCCAGTGACACACCCCTCTAACTGCCAGAGAAAAAACAGCAGAAGAGAGTAAAAAGTAAACACTTTGTAGGAAATGCAGTGGAAATTACATAAAATCCTGGTTGTCTGCTCTGAGGAGCTAGAAAGATGGGGGCACACCCTGTGAATACATAATGTTGTTTCACTAAAACATCCCCAGTAGCACTTGGAACCTCCCAGGTTGAAAGTGGGCGCCTCAGAGGAGCAGAAGGTGAAGGTAATGGAAAAGGCTGGCCATGGCCACTGCAGACACTGCTCCCACTGTTCCAACTCTGAGCCTTCTTGTGATCAGGAGTTATTGGAAGGTGTGTAAAATGTTGCTGGTTCTGTTTCGCTGGAAATTAACTAAAAATAGGTGTTTACTTGATGATGAGTCTCACTGCAGGCACAGGTCTGATGCAAGGGCTGAGAGAGATCTGTTTTACTAATTGCCGTGTGTCATGAGTGTGGCCCAGGGCCTGGGTGCATCACTGGTGATGAGCCCCAGATGCCCTTGGGGGCCTTAGGGTTCTTAGGGTTCACGCAGGTCTGTAAGTCTTTCACTGGCAGATGTGGGTTCTAGATAACAGCAGGCGAGGACCAAGTAAGGACTCCAGAACTCAGCATCAGTTGGACTTGGGTCAGCACATGAAAGGGAGATAGTGGTCAACAGTGGACAGGCAATGCTTCCTCGTGGCATGACTCAGATCACTCAGCAGGCATTTCCTGGACACCTGAATGTACCAGCAGGGTGCACGAGGCACCCTCTGCGTGGTTGCCTCTCCATTGTGTAGAACCAGTTGGTCCTCATGTGGGCATACTCACAGGCCCCTTGGAGTTGTGACTACTGTGGATGGTGAGGGCTCCGTTCCCAGGGCGGGGTGTGGATTTGTCCCTGGGGCAGAGGTTACTCAGAGTCTTGGGGCAGCAGGTGGGGCCCTGGGGAACAGAGTGGAGCATAGGTGGGAGGGGCTGGGTGGTGAAGCTGCAGCTCAGCAGAGCCTGTGGGGCTGCAGAGGGGAGTGGACTCGCCTCAAAGCACACGGGGAAAGCTTTTGGCAGAAGAGCAGCCTTTTTCTTTGATTTTCTGTATCTGATTTATTTCACTTAACATAATGCTCTGTTTTTGTCACAAATAGCAGAATTTCCTCCTTTTTTATGACTGTATTAGCATTCTGAATATATGTCTAGAAGTAAGATAGTTAGGACTGTGTGTCACATTTCCTGATCCTATGTTATGACTGTCACATTAGTTGCTGGATGGAGAATGGATGGTAGGTGTAGAGTGAGGCAGGGGGAGGACATTGAGGGGTTATCTGGAAGACTGGTGACAGCCTTGCCTGGTGGTGTGGCCATGGGGTTGAGGCAGAGGGCAGATGCAGGCACAGCTGCCATCTGCAGACTTGCCGATGGATTGTTGAGAGGGAGGAGGAAGGGGGATCCAGGAGATCCCCTCCCCTGTGGTGCCATCATGGGGTGGCAGGAGGAGAGGTGGAGATGCCTGTTTGGTGGTAGAGAGGAGATGCCCAGGCTACTCTGATGCCCAGGCTACTCAGGTGAGCAAGCCTGGGCTAGAGGTCAAGCTGGGGAGGCAGCAGCTCAGAGGGGACTTTCACTGCCATGGAGCTGTGTTGACTCACTGAGCAGGAGTGTGGCATTGATGAAGAGGGCCAGGCTGTGTCCTGATCATCCCAGCGTTCAGCAGTCGGGGGAAGAAGAGCTAGCAGAGGAGACGGGAACACACACCTGGAGAAGTGGGGCAGCAGCCCAGGGAGCCAGGATGTGGTGTCTCTGGAGGAGCAGCTGTGGGTGTTGTAGACCAGTGTGGGTGTTGGGTTTGACCCCTGGAGGCCTGTGTGGAGCTGTGCCAGGGGATGATGGGGACAGGAGCCTGTGTGGGGGCAGGATGAGCAAAGGGGGCTGCAAGTGTCTGTTGGAAGGGCAGCAGCTGGTCAGGGCTGTAGAGAGGTGGGGGAGGTGTGTGTGCATGGGTGACAGGTACAGCTCCTAGAGAAGGTGTGTAACCTGTGGAGAAGATGGAGGGCAGGATGGTGACGGCCTGTGACCACGTCTACTGCTGCTTTTTCATAAGTGAGGTTCATTGGAGCTGCTGCACTCTTCATTCTGTGTGGTCTCTGCTGCTTCCGCTGTCCAGCGTCCCAGACGAGCATGGTACTGGAGACCACAGGCCCAAAAGCTTAAGCTGGGTGCTGTCTGGCCCTTAGCAGGACTGCGAGCCCCTGGGACCCTGGGGAGGGAGAAGTTGATGTTGCTGGAGAGGGACAGGGCTGGAGCCAGGAGCACAGGTGCCTGGCCTTTGAGGAAGCAGAACACTCCTCCCTATGGGCTGGACTGGAGGCCTGGGGAAGACAGGCACCCAGAGAGATGGGAGCCTGTAGGTGGAGTCCACTTGGTGCTCTGCTGCAGTCTGTTGGGAAAGCTGCCATGGAAACTGAGGTAGGAAAAGTTGTGGCCACAGGATTCTCCTGTTGCTTTTCCCTGGTGTTTGTCAAACCTGAGTACTCATCTTTCTTATGGCTAGTATGATACTGAGAAGTATTTGGCTTCTCCTGTTCCTGCCCTTCACTCCCTTCCCTCCCCTCTTCCCTCCCTTTTTGAATTTTATAATATGTCAGAGCTGGTGTTGTCCTCAGATCTTTCATCTCGGAAGGGAAGTAACTTTTCTCTGGTTATAGTTTGTGATGGGGCTGAGGTTGGAAGTACAATATGCCTCCTCAGATGCTGCAGGCCAGTGTCAGTAATTCTGGGACATGTGTGCAGAGTCTCCCTCAGCGCTCGGGCCTGAGAGCTCAGGTCAGGCGATTGTTCACATCAGTTCAGTTTCCTTGCTAACCCCGTTCTCAAAGTACAGGGTGGTGGCATACAAGATATGCCTCTCCCAGCCTTCTCCAGGGGCTGGACATGGTTTACGGCCACTGTGGGTAGCAGGTGGGGAGAGGTTCCTGTCAACAGGGGGACCAGGGTCTAGCCCTGGTCAGGGCTACCAGGGCTGTGAGCCCACTGCTTGCCCCTAATGCTTATCTTAGGCATGGAAATACTGGAAACCATGGTGACAGCGATGTCGTTAGTCATCTCCTAATTCTGAAAGTAGAGCCCTTTTGCATTTTTCACAGTCTGGCAGGTTGTTTGTGTGGTTGGTGTGTTAGTGATGACAAGCTGGGGCCTGCGGCCCCTGCTCCCTGGGCTGTAAGAGGCCAGTCCCATGCAGCCTGCTGT